ATTCCTGTGATACCGAAAATTACACCAAAAACAAATGATTTACAAAACAATCCCATAACAAAGCAGACAGCCCGTGAAAACGTTGTCATATCAAAACAGTGAGAACCAGTGGATCTCATATTCAGAGTATCACCACCATCATGCCACAAAAAAACACACACAGATGCAGCAGCTGCGCTTTATTCATAAAGGATTCTCCAAAACTAAAAATTATCACAGAAGGAATTAAAGGAAAAAAATGATAAAGGAAATGAAAAAAGAAAAATTACCACGCCATTATTCCCATCACGCTTATTTAGGGCCGTAGCGGATGGTGGTGGCGAGGAGAAAACACCCTTCGTGGAGGAAAATTGCGGGACCGCATCACGCACTACTCGTTTTGGTACTTCTTCCTATAATGGAACATATAATAGTGAGCACATGGCGATTTCGAAAAATGAATTTTTTGATTTTTTGGATAATTCCAAAAAAAAAAAATTCTTTTTTTATGTCCAGAAACAAGATAATCTTGGATATTGCACCACGCATATATCTACCCTTCTAATGGGCAAAGTACTGAATAATCATCATCATGGCAATGTTGGGAATAAAATGGTACCATGGAGACCTCGAAATGATCTAAGTGCTTTAATCGGGGGAACTGTTGAGCTGGTAATTTCTTCAAATTTTAGAATGAATGAGTTACCAGTAGGGCGACCAAAAGAGGATGCAGGCTTGGTCAAAGCAAATGCAAAATTAATCACTAACAGATAAGAAATATTGCCCCTTCCGACAGTGTGTATACATCGACACAGGAAAAAAGTCCGTGAACGAAAAAAGTTACGATGACTTAACGAGAGAAAAGATGTGCAAAGAAAAGCTTAAAAAGAGCCTATGCACATTCTGGGAAAGAGGGAGTGGGGTCAAACATGGACAAATCGGATTTTACGAATTTGTCCAATGCCCAAGAAGAAATTTTCAAGCGAAAACGTTTCCATGGAAAAGCTGGTTGTAGCATCCAGGTTGATCTTGGATGCAATGTGTCGAAGGCGTACTGAATACAGAAAGAAGGAAAGGACGAGGAAAGGAGGCAAGAACGAGATAAGACGTTTCGGTCCACTGAATCATATACGTCTTAACTCAACACTGGAAACTTGATGAAAAAGTTTCGCACTTGTGACTGCCGATATCGTGCAAAGAAAGAACGAGCCCAAAAAACACAGACGCTTAAGTGCCTGTAAATACCACACAATAATGCATTATATACGACATTAGTGCACTACTAAACGAGCACTGTAGTGAAGCGCATCCATCTACTATTACCATGCATAAGAGAAAAGGAAAGTTTTTTGTGGAAATTTAAAAAATTTACATGCATTCGAAAGAAATCTAGAAGAAACAGAGTACATTACCGTGCTCTCCAAACCGAATTTGAGTGTGGTATTTTGCAGTAAAGTTGTCTCCGCTTCTTGCTCTTCCCATTTTCCCAATGTTGGCTTTACAACAGGTTGCTGTTTCATACCTAAAACCACTGAAAGTACTGTAAAAAGAAAAACACCTGGTGTAAAATAACAGAAGACGGGTCATTTGCAGGAAAGTCTATTCCAAAGATAATACTTGAAGCTAATGTGAAATGGGTTCTTCCAAGCACACTGTCTAGAAAACCCGAGAAAAGCTAACCAAGAAGCCGCCACAAAGAAAAAGCGACA